GGCAAGATCTCCGTGGAGCAGACAGCCCAGCACCAGCGACTGCTGAGCGCCCATCCAGCGCCAGCACACGCAAAGAGCCTCTTGCTGGAGAGGTGAACCCAATTTGCACCTTTTTCAGGTGGAAGGGGAGGGAGGGAGGAGGGGAGGTGGTGTCCCAGCTGCCAGGTGTGAGGTTGGGAAGAAGACCCTCCCTGCCCCGGGACCTGCTCCGCACCGTGGGGGCAGCAGGGGCTGGCAGTGCCCCCAACTCACCAGCACATGTTCGCACTCCACAGCAGAGGAGTTCACCCACCGGGCTTCAAACGTTCTCTCCGTCCCAAAGTGGCACTCCAGGGCTGTCTCCTGGGAGAGGGGAGACAAGGGCAGAACGGCTGCAGCAGCCACCTCGTGCAGGTCCCCTCTCCGTGGCCGCCCCAGCCACTTCGTGCAGTTCCCATCTCGGTGAACTGACAGCGCCATCACCACCTTGTTTCTGCCCCCAGCACCTGAACAAGTCGAACAGGAGATCGGAACCCAACCCTGTGAATGGGGCTGGATCTGTGCCTGACTAATCCTGCTTTGTTACACACCTGGACATAAAATTGCTGCATCGCACATGGTGCCAAGACCTGCTCCTTGCTCTCGCTCAGCGTGCTGCTGCCATGTCACAGCCAGGCACGGGGCAGCTGCTCTGGGAGCTGGGGACATGTGGTACATGCAGAGCAGGAGACATGCCCGATCCATGGGAGACACACCTGGCAAGGCTGTGCACCTGAAACACCTGCCAGCAGGTACCCAGGCTGTTGAGAGCTCATGCTGCAATGCAGATCGAGAGCCAGTGTCCTCCCAAGCCACCTCACCCAAACCGGTCCACTCTTTTACTCAAAGCCACCTCTTTTCTCCTCCAATAACTGCAGGAAGCAGATCTCTAATTCAAATCAGGGCCCAGCCAGCAGCATGTTCAAAGGGAGATTTTCTGTGCTGTTTTCTTGATAACACAGAGATGATCTCCTGCCTCGAGTTACTGCTGTGCCCCTATCCTGCCAGAAAGAACCCTATCTCCAAGCAGGTTGATGTTGCACCACTGCTGAGGTCTAACCACTCTTTGAAAACTGACACATCTGATAAAAGACATGAAAGAAAGCGCCAGTCTCCTGGCGGGCAGCTGCTGCCTCAGCGAACACACACGCGGCTGCGAGGGGGAAACTGGGATCTCCCCCAGTGCCCCGGCTGTGCCCGCTCCGAGCTCCGGCAGCGCTCGAGAGCTCCTTTCCCAAGGAAAGGAGGAGGAATCCTGCCCGGCGCCAGGGAGAGTTTGCAGGAGGAAGCTGGGGTGCCAGAGCCCCTGCACAGCCATGCCTGGCCCCTTTCCTGCCGACTCCATTTCCTACTGCTATTGCTTCCTCCTCAGCCACCTCCAGCATCCACAGAGGAAGAAGCCTTTCTCGCCCATTTCTGATGATTAGGGAGGGCACATCCTCCCACACAGAGGCTGGACCCGTGCAAGGAAGGCAGCCCCCGCCGGGCGGGGAGGGCTAATTTGTGCTCTGCACTGAAGCAGGGTGCCCGCTGCCCTCACGGAGCAACCCGGGCAGCTCCACAGCGTTTCCAACCTCCGCCTTTTCCTGCAGAAGAGGAGCTGCCTGGCTGTCCAGCGAGCAGCGATCCTCTGTGGAGGCACGACGAGTCAGGCCCCATGAGGCCCGCTGCAGGCTTGACCCAAAAGGACACGGGGCGGCTTTCTGCAAATACCAGAGCTTAGACAAGTATTTTCCCAGTGCCCAGCCTCCCTGTCCCAAATTCCTCTGGTTCCTCCTGGCGTGCAACACATCTCCAAAGGCACCATTCGATGTCCACTCCCGCTTTCCATCCTGTTACAATTTGCATGCCAAAAAATTTCACAGAAAGGACTTTTTCTCAAAAAAAAAAAAAAAGCTCTGCAGTGACGACCAGAAGTTAAGTTAAAACATATTTCCATGCTACTCCAAGCAGCGGCTCGGCCAGCACAGGGCTCTCTGCCCACTGCTTGGGGCTTTTTCCTTCACTCCCAAGCACAGGGCCAAGGGGCCAGGCTGGCACGTGGCACCGGGACGGCATGACACCACCATGCTCTGTGATGGACCAAATGCCCGTAAGGAAAATAGGCATTTCATTTCCCAAAAACATTTTGCTCTAATGACTGCTTTACAAGATGTATAAACCCCCTTTTTCCACCAAACACAAAAAGTCCGTCAGCAATCGTGTGAGATCCGTGGCGAATGCCCAGACACAGAGAGCATCTCCCTTGGGCTTTGCCAGGCAGCCTCACCCACCACGGGGGTGACTGCCTCCCACAAATATCTTCTGTGAACACAGCGATTTCAGCTGCAAATGCAACCAGCCCCATCTCCCACACCTGAAGCAGAAACCAGCTCGTACTTAAAATCCCTCTGTCTGAGCTGGCTGCATGGCAGCCTGGGCTCAGCTAGACCTTCCTAATCTCTCTAGGAACTCGTTTACCTCAGAGAAAGTCGCATTGGCCAGCGAGATGGTAATGTCCTGAGCTACTCCTGTGGGCATCGGGTCCAAAGAGGCAGGTACAATTCGCGGACAGTCAATTTTCTCCTGTTAGGTGCAAAACAAGAAGAAAAAAACCAAAGGTTAGCTGAGTGCGCGCTGAGAGTGCTCAGTGATGAGGGAAGGATGCACATCAGAGCCCTTGGTATGTTTAATTTCACTGTATCTGTGAAGTCAGATTGCATAGAAACTGAAACGTCAGAATGGCACAGTGACACGTGGAGGGGTAACGCCACTGGAGCCCTCCTTCCCCAAGAAAGGCTTTAAGTCCAGCCCAGCATGGCACTGCCTTAAAACCCACCCCTCGGATAACCACAGCACGGCGGTGGATTCCAGGAGGGCTTGGCCCGAGCAGGGCAGGAATTCCCCTCTCGCTCCCGCCCGGCTCCTCTGCCAGCTCAGGGCATCGGACACGGGTACTGGGACTGGCATCCCCGCGAGTCCAACTTCCTG